AATTTCACACGAATATTCATAAATTAATCAAAAATATTGTTTACCAACTGTCCAGCAGGGGGTCGTGTTGGCGGGGTCAGGCGTGAGTTGAACTCTCCGCCCACACGCGACAATTGACCCTTTTGTTAATTAAATTTCAAACAATGAAAGGACATTACGTCCACGTACCCTGGCTGTATATGTGTGTGTCTCTGTGTGTGTGTGTGTATGTCGCTCATGATATGCAAACAAGCTAACAAAATTGAGAATGAAACTGTTTGCCCAGCTAATAGGGAAAGTAACGCTCGCCCATATAGATATATCGGTTCAGATAGTGTCAAGGTAAATTTGAGCTGAGTCCAACAACAGCTACCGAAATTGCCCATAAATTTTGTGCACTATTTTGGGTCGAGAAAAGTAAAAGGGTTGACGTTGACAGGCGAGGATTCCCTTCCCCTGCCGACCATATATAGTGGCCTTATGTCCTGCATATGATGTTTATCCAGTGGCGTCTATTAGTCCACATAAATTATTAACGCGCTTTCCCGATGTGCATGTAGTTTATTAGCACTTGAGAGAGACTTGGTTCGCTTTTCAGCAGAGCTCTGTGAGTGTGCGTGTCTTGTGTCCTTGTGCTATGTGTCCTTTCGGTGTCCTTTGCATGTTTGGGCCATTGGAAAATTACCCATACTCTTGCTTCTGCTTTTTGCGTTTGTTTGTCTTTATTTGTATTAATTTACATACGACACGCATTCTCGCACTTTGGTCGCATCCGCAAAAGGATACCACAAACTGGTCTGGACTTTATGATATATGCGTGTGCCCCCTCCCCGCTATGATAAGCGACTTTCAATTAGCAGTCCGACTAGCTAATACTCATGTTACTAATGGAGCTAATGGCACTTTAATTCAGTTATTGAACTAGCAAGTATTGTGAGCCTTAGTTTGGGCCAAGTATTAATCATAAAATCTTAAACGTAAAAAAGCTTTCTCCTAGTTTCGGACTTCATAAACCAGAGTGGGAGGTCGCCTGCTGAAATTCATTCTTGTATAATATTATTTTATTCATTTAACCCAGGCGACGCAGGGTAATTTCTGCTAGCAGTAAATACATTGAAAATTAACATAGATAAGAGTTTCATATAAAGTATATTAAACAGCTCCGAACAACTTGACCCCCCAAGTCAATAAAAGTCGCACTGAGGTATGAAATAATATTATCAGATAATTTCTTTGGCCCAAAATGGCATCAACGCATTTGTGTGGGCGCTTTAATGTGGGCAGAAGAGAAGCCCAAATCAAATCAACAGCCAAAAGGAACGGAAAATAAAAAGCACGGACGCTGGCGGCCCACATTAACGAGGAAGGACACTGACCAAGTACCGAGGCAAAGGAGGGAGCTCTGGCGCTCTGGAGCTCTGGAGCTCTGGACATTTGCAGTCAATAATTCAGCTTATCACCGGCGGATATTAGAATGGAAAACCCAAAGGACAACACATCCGGCGCCGCAAGCGCGCATCAATAAAAACACATTTGAATGACAACCGCTCCGTTCCCTGTTCCCCGCTGCCCCTCTCCCTGCCTGTTCAGTGACAACCTATTGAGAAGGTGTTCATGTTTATCAAAGGCAAATGCAAGGCATGTGCCGGTCGAAGGGGGGAAGTGTCCACTTTGGCAGCATCTCAAGCAACACTTTTCAAGTGAAAACCTCGCGCACTTCAAGTCAAAACTTTGTTGTAATCCCCCGCCACCCTCGCCGCCAGCTTGGTAGTATTCCCCGCTCCGTTGGTTTGTCTACGCTTTGAACTTTGAATTTGACTTTGGGCCGCGGTGAATCGCATCTTGCTTGCAGTTTGTCAACCCTCCAACGCTTTTGGACTTTATTCGAAATTGTAAAACCGTAAAAAAGCAAAACAAACTCACCCAAACCTATCAACTGCCCGCCTCAGAGTATTTACTCGCGTTCAGTTCGATCTGTATTTGAGTTATTTTTTCGGTTGTCCTGCGCTGTGAAGCATCCTTTAAAGTGCCGCTGTGCTGATTGTAAATATTTTCCCAGCGCAAACTTTCAATGCTGACAACGCCAAAGACTGGCATATATTGAATTTAAAGAAGTTTTTGCTACTTTTTGGATAAACTTTAAGATCTAACGCTACCTTAAACTAGGGAACTAGTAAGAAGGAATTTAAATATACGGAATATCTGTCGAATATGTTCAAAAAATAAGCAAGCTTTCTGCTCAATGTTTTTTTTCACAGTAGAATCAAAAACTCTAAATTGATCTGCCAAGTTGTTACCTATTTTGATAGTATGCTAGATTGTATTTAACGCGCTTGCAACATATTTAATAACCTTTTGGGCTTCGAAAACATATTTTTACAGCTCTTTAAAATTGAATCATGAGTCAGCGCTTACTCATTTACAGCAGCGTCTAGCTAACGACACAACATTGGAGTTTATAGCCGAGTTTTTTATACGCGTTGCCACACGAGTCTTTAAAGATGACGCACTTAACGGGATATTGCATGGAGTAAACGCGAAATGCATATTTAAAAATATTAAAAAAAGGCTAAATTTTCTTGTTTAATGGCTGCGCTGTACAAATTGCTGGCAATAATACGGGTAACCCTCCACCCACGCCCTGTTAACCAAAGCAAATGCTGTCTGTGTATCAGCGCGAATCAGTCAAAGGTCGTTAATTTTTAAAATGGCATATAAATTTCTGAGCAATCAAATAAGGCGCAACAGCTATATATTCGCCTACTCTCTCACAGGGGACAGCGCATAAAATATGAACAGCAAAAGGCATAAAGTGTTCGAAATTGCCCATTTGTGAACAAATAATAAAATATTTGGCAAAGTGTTGAAGATGGCGTCTTTTTTCTTTTTTAACAATCGAAACTTCCCCCCTGCAGCCAACCCTTCCAGCCTCACATGCATCGGCCACCCTCTGGCAAGGGCAACTTCTGGTGGCACGAAAAAAACTCATATGCATATATCCCCAATACACAAAAAATTTGCTACAAAACTCTGACAGCATTTGCACCAAGGGTTGACTGGCATTTCTGTATTCGCATCTGAAAATGCGTAATGTGTTCAATTTTTGGATGTCGTGTGCGCCATTTTCATTCACGTTCCATAAATTTCATGTCGAGTATTTATAAATCAAATCTAGCATCTGGGGTAACCCTGCTCCAGGACAATCGCTATATATATTTTATCTTTGCCTTGCTGAAATCCTGTTTATTTCCGCTTCCGCTTTACAAGTATTCTCCATTAATAATGCGCAATTTTTCTTGTTTTTGCATAACATGCCAAAAGTATTGAAAATTAAGAATTATTACGGATTTTAAGCCAATAACTCAACGATGTTTTCGAACAGGCGCTAAAGAGAAAGATCTGCTAAAAATTTTGCAAATAAATTATGACATTGTGTTGAAATTGCATAAAGATGTAAATATAGAAAGTATATAAAAGTCCTGAACTCTCTTTAATTGGATTCGAACTTTGAAGTTTAATACTGAAAGAGTTTTAATTAACTCCAGCCATCAAATATATTTATGTTTATACATTTTTTTTACATGAACAATGAACAATGATTCGATTAGAAACAAATAATACTCATATATTCTGTCACGATCATCTGTTTTTCCCAAGTAACATTTTCAGCAAAATGACGCAGTTAAATATGTAAAGTTTTAACACCATGCCGAACCCCTGAACCTGCGATCTTTACATACGATTCGTCATAAAATCAGCTGTTCGCTCTGCTATAAAAATTGCAGTTGCCCGTTTGGAGTGACAGTTGTCAGAGCTTCGTAGTGGCATTATTATAGCTTGATTGTTAGTCGCCTGATAAAGAGCTCTAACAGAGCGATTCCCTTAATCGCTAAGCTTTTTGCAGGTGCTGCCCATGTTGTTGGCTGCAGGTTTCAGCAGTTCTTTAACCATTTTCCGTAAAGACATGCTTTTGCCCATCATTCTCATAGGCATGCTGCTCAGTTCAGCTTATATGGATATGGCTTTGGCAAATGCTATAGGTCAGGTCCCTACATCGGCACAGGAAGCTCAACAGAGTTCCGAATCGGTGCCTACGAACCATGTTAAATTCACTGAACAATTGTCGTCAAGTACAGAAGGTTCGCTTAACAAGGAGGTCCTGAATGCAGAATTAATGAAGCGTGTCAATTTTGCTGTCAAGCAATTGGGCGGTGCGATTAGCCTTTTATTAAGCCTGGAACGTGAAGCGATTGCACTGTCAAATACAGAATTTGCAGAATCTGTGCGGAATCTGGTCGACGATAACATTGGAATTTTGGTCGATAGATTTAACATAAGTTCGAGTGCTTATGACGGTAACAATGGACATGCCGATGAGCCGAAGACTAGAACCCGCCGCTATAATATTAATTAGATGCTGAGCTAATCGGCGATAAATTTGACTTCCAACTTAAACTTGACTTGGAGGTCATTAATGAGCATTGAAAAATGACAATACCTTCGGGAAATAATTGTGATCAATAGCTCGGACTGTATATAAATTTTAAAAAATAAATAGCTAATTCGCATTCATACAAATTTAAACTTATTTTTCTCTTAGATATGAAATTTAATGATAATATATACGCTTAAATAACTATAGAAGCATATAATATATAAGGATTTTTTATAATATGTTAAAGGAGTTTATATAAAGAAAGAAATATTCAAGATCTTGTTAAACTCAAATATATTCTGGCTGAAACTATAGGGATTTGTTTTCTAAGGATCCACATGAAATTTCTTAAATGCTTCTAGGTATGTACTGTGTTCTTCATAACGATCCCCAGAATGCAAAGGTTCGGTTCAAAAAACATAAAATAAAGTTCCATTTATCTTAAATGCTCGTGCAACACACAAGATACCAAAAGTTACAAGTATTAATAGAAGTTGAAGCCAGTTGAGAATCGTTTTCACCTTATGCTGAACTTTTAGCTTTGCATTTGCATTATTATTATATTTAATTATAGACTTAGTTTTGCTATATAAACTGCAGTTGTCGCAATGGCGTGACAGTTTTCCAGGTATTTTCTAAGTTTAAGGTATAGACTTTGTCATGTCACGTTTGGTTGTAAGTCGAATCTTTTAAGTCGTCCGATACGAATCTCTGAGCCTTTTCACATTTAACAGATACTTTTTCTGTCCCTGGCTTTGTTGTGTGGCAGCTCTGAGGCAGATCTGAGCGAATTCCTGGATGAGGCCGAAAAATCTTTGCATACTTTTCGATCATTTGCGGCGATACCCATAAAATTAATTAATTCAATTCTGGGCACGTCGTCCGATAAGAAAGATCCCCCACATGTATCTGGTAAACGAGTCACCGCTGAGGTGGGAGATGGCAGCGATCTGATTACGATTATAAAGAGTCCCCAATCGCCTCTGGGCGTTTCACATGTCCGAAGACCCTATCCGGCATATGTTGGCGAGGATTCGCTAGTCTTTTTTCACAATCAAAGGCCACAAGCACGCGGAGGATTTGGCCCGGACAACAGAGACAAGCCGCCTTCTGGAGTGAAGCAAGCACAAATACCAGGCGGTATCTCTCCGGAGAGAACTAACAACGGAGTCGGAGTACCTGATGGACTACAAGGCAATCCGAATGGCGGCGGCTTAAATGGTGAAAGCAATGAACAACAAACTGGTGGTTCAGTTGGCGGTTTGGATAACGGATTCACAGGCGGATTGGCTAATGGGTTGAATAGACCTCAGGTTGGGTGGCCGATGGGTTAGCGCCTTGATTGACAGAAAGATGGATGGACTGCAGAGGAACAGACGCTAATTTGTTTGAAAATGTGAAATGCTGATAAATGTCGAATTGTATTCCTTAAAAGATATGAATTATTATATGATTTCAAAACAATTAATTAAGATGTTTGAATTATATTCTTTAAAAGATATGAAATATTATATACTGTGCTTTTGAAACAATAAACTTTTAAGACAACAATTATATTTTAGTTTCTGAATTTGGGATTTGAGATATTTATTATTGAAATGTAAGAACTACTATGTTCTGCGGTGAATTCTATGCATTCAATAATACAAGTTTCTGGAATTCAAATTATTTCTTATAACTTATGGCTCCGCTATAAAATAAGAAGAACAAAGAAATAAGGAAAACAAGGAACCAACACAGATATATATTTCTTTCATGGGCTAACTAAATCTGGTCTATAATTTGGGAAATGCTTCAGAAGCCTGATACTTGAAGGTTGAGCAAGTAATTAAATCAACTGAAAAAAGAATCCCGTAATTTACTGTACGGTTTGTAGAATGTCCAAGTTAACGAACTGTGTATATTGTATCCATAATACTAATAGTTATGAGGCATTCAAAAAGAAACCTATGTACTTACCAAGAAATGCGATATAGAAGATTTGGATAGTGTATATACATTTTCCACATATTCGCAGATCTCATTAGCTGCGGTGTCATAGCTCGCACACGAGCGATGCCAGACTGTAAGGTCTAGCCCCATGACGAATTGTGATATTTAAATAATATTTGCGTATTTCCATTCAGAATTCTAATTTGAGAACACTGTGAACACAAAATCGGGTGCTTTAAATAGAGCCGTTTTTCTATCCAAAAGCATCAGTTGCAAACGGCACTTGTTCTGTCTACAAGCTTCAGTTGTTAAAGAAACTTTTAAAAATGATTCGTCTATTGGTAAGTGAATTGTTAGTACAGTAAACAGGCTGATTTCTATAATATATGATTACCGACAGGTCCTTATCCTGTCGCTGGTTCTGCTCATGGGCACTGCTCACGGCAATCATCAATTCTGGTTGAAGCTGTTCGGACTTACTCCACAGAACCCGAGCCCTGCGCCCATTACCAATTGCCAGGGTTATCCCTATCCGTGCACCGATCCTTTGTGGGTAGGAGCCTAGGCGGGATCAACTATGTCTCCGGCATGTTGCCTTCTTGGCCAACCAACTGGTGTTGAGGTCAACAAAATGGATCGGTTTGGTTACAGTCTATATATACTATGTCCAGTTTCGGTCTATTCATGATTTTCAAATATAAATATTAGTCAATGCAGTTAGAAATTCGCCTTATTCTCTTGTCGGGCATAATATCATTTGAAGAAAGGATATACTAAATGCATCTCAAGCTCTGACAAAGAAAATTTCTTAACATTTTAATGGTATGGTTTATGCAAAGTACTAAGTTTCTAAATGCCACAGAAATTGGGCAGATTATGGCGTCAGTTGTGTCAAATGGGCAGCGGGCTAGGCTCTAAGAATTTTTGCAATGTTAGCCAACAAAATTGCTCCCCATTGACCAACTCGGACAACCCGCTGAATTTCGCCATGCTGAACCGCATTGATAAAACCCATCATATTCATTATGAGCACTGTGAATGGCCAACAACAATGCGTCTTAGCTGAGAGAAAGGCTTTACTTGCCAGCTTGAATACCTAATGATGGTTAGAGCCCCTTTTCCAACTCCATATCCCACGTTTCCTCTCCGACTACCCGTACCCGCTGCTGCTGCTGTTGCTGCTCCTGATAAGATGACACAAAATGTAAAAATTGACACATAAAATTTAAGTTGCCTGCCGGTCGCCATTTTACTTAGCCACAAACCGCCAACACGCGCCATCCTCATGCACATCCTTTCGTCCTGCAGCTCCCCACCCCACACCCACACTCTTTACTCACACTTTCTCTTTCTGGCTTCTTCCAGCAGCTTTGTTCACCCACTTCGTTAGTTATGTAAATGACTTTGTTTGTTTTCCATTGTTGTCCTCTTTGCCAAGTATTGCCGCTCTAAAAGATAATTCTGCTGACAAGCTGGCAACGCTGTTATCAGACACACACACACACATTCATACGGCTCACGCATGTTGAGCGCTGCTCGCGTAGGCACAGATTTTTAACCCTTTTGGCCGAAACGCTACCCCAAATGGAAAGACTTCGCTGTTCCTTATTTACCTTCTGTATATACACACGCACACACTTACACAGAGGGGAAATTTTCACGCACATCACGCATGAAAGTCGCGTTTACGTCCTGTACATAAGTTCTCATTCCATTTGCGTGTGCTTTTATATATACGTATCTATTTATGTATACGTGTGTGTGTTGTAGTGGCTGCTTTGCACTCCCCAAACGAATCTGCTTGTTGATCAGCTGCTCTAGTTTAGTTACTGCTTTACCGACCGCGCTGGAAGCCAATTCTTCGTTTATTGCACAGCTGAGGGCATGCGCAACCGAATAGGGCGAATAGAGAGGAAAAAGGTGATAAGATCAGGCCATAGTACCGTTTTAAAATATAATCGCGTGATGTAGAGCTTTTGAAAGCTTCCTTATTTTTTTTGTCGTTGGGAAGTAGTAAAGGTTAAAAGTACAGCTCAGCATGTCAGATATATTTGAAGCGCGTGCGAGTTAAGTTCATAACATTTTTTCTTTCTTTGCAAATAATTTTTGCAAAGACATCAACGACCAAGGCTGCAATTGTGGTACAGTTTGGAAGTGTTCTTTTGGTACGCTAATAGAAACCAAAAACCTTCATAACAACTCGACCCACTAACCTAATTGTGATTCGGGGTGACCCTTAAAGAAAAGGTATTTATATGTGCTAGTGTTGAGACTTGGAACTAATTAAGGCTTCCACAGTTTCCGTGCCTGCTCAGTTGACTAGATTTAGACGTACTAGTCGGCACTACCAGAGGGGGAGATCGGACCAGACAAGGGCAACACCAAGAGCACGTGTCGCACTTAGCAACCCAGCAGAACCAATTTTGTTGCTATTTTACTTATCAGCCGCTGTCTTGCGAAGAACAACATCTGGCATAGCCTCGGAAAACGGCGTCAAGCGGGTGAAACGCTTACTATTTATGCAGCACCATCGGGACCGCATGCACTAAGCATATAGTGTAACCTGCAGAGAGTAACAAAGGAGCCGAGTCTGTATTACTTTTGGTGTACCCCTTTCGCTTGCTTAGCAGCATTGCCATATAATTCCATTAATTGTTTAACGTTGCCAAGATGGACGGCTAATAGATCCTTAGTTTTAATTTTTATTTCCTTTAATTTTTTTTTTCTTTTACTAATTTCTTTAAAACAAAATGTGCAATGAATATGCCTAAATAAGTTAAAGCGAGAGGAAATTCCTACACCACCGACCTTGACCGTTGCTCATATATATATATATATATATATATATATATACATGTGTTTATATACTTATAAATTTCTTTTGTAATATTTAGCAACAGCGATCATAATCGTCGTATACATTGGGCCCAACGTCTGCTTCGAAGGATATCGCGTGAGTAAGAGTTTAAACCAATGCCTATAGATATATGTAATTATATACACACATGAACATTTAAATGCAGTTAATTTAGCAAGACGGTAAATTAATTACTATCCGTCAAGTCTCAAGATAATGTTGGTGAATTTCTCCTTCCCCTTAATTTCTTTATGGGATTTAAACTAGTTATTGCTCATTCATCATATTAACTTTGGATTCAAATTTTGTTTGGAAACTGTATATTTTTTCTTGTAAATAGAGTTATACTCACCTTGCTATTAATTGGCAACAAAATTGAACAATGCGTGAATAAACGAATTATATTAGCTTATATGATATGATATCCTAATTCCATAATTAATTGTTTTATCTGTCAAGTACCCATGTTAGCCGCTTGCAATTTATAGTGATGGTTTAAGAACCTGAAATAGGGACAAGCATCCACATTCCATTTTTTTTTTTTTGCTTGTCAAGGTAGGGAGGGTAAAGAGAAAGAGAGACGATCAACACCTTAGTTCTCTCACTTACGCGAAATTGAATAGTTTGAATTTGGGTGTTCGGTCGGAACACATTAATGGTACCCATACTAGAATCCGGTTTTTTTTTTTGTTTCAATGGATTTACTTAAATCAATAAGTTTTTTTTTTTATTTTTTTTGATCGCACTTAAACTATGTGTTTATGGTAAGTGCAAAAGGGAAAGGAAAAAACCCCGACCAGTCCGACGAGCTATTGTCCGAGTATTAGCAAGAAGTGCGAACCTCCAATCCCTATGCACCCGGTTAGGCAACAGCCACGGCCGTTTGTTTTTATTTTTGGTAGATGGCCAAACGAAAGGCAAAAACTGAACCCGAACCTCCCCACCATTACAGTGTGTGTGTGTGTGTGTGCTTGTGCGTATCCTTTCGCTTTTTGCCGCGTTTCCTTCAGTTGTTTGTCTCTTAAGATTTCTCGTCAAAGATATCTTATGAAAAATTGTTAAAATTTTTTGTTTCGAACAAACAAATTGCGCGTCATCTGGCGCGAACGAAACACTCATCCATATGCAGGACCCGAAATTCCTGGCCTGTTCGATAAGTTTAATTAATGCCTCAGTTATTTGTTATGCTCAACATTTGGGTCTATGTTAATAATATGCGCTAATGATATCAATAAATTTGTTGAAAATTTTTATAAATAGTCTAGAATAGCAAAGAGGAATGTGGAATATAATGATTCCTAATTAAGTAGCTGTTGTGCTGTTGTCTATAAAAAAGGGTCTTTCCAAAAGTATTTGCCATATAAAATATTTGAAACAGAAGAAATGTACAATATACATTAAATCTGTTCAAATAATTTTAAAAATTATTTATGAGCTGTTTTTTATTATATTCGCGAAATTTCTCAAATCTTCTCAGATATCTAACTAGTAGAACCCATGCCTAATTTCTTAAATATAGATTCATAGTCTACAAACTCTCACCCAGTAATTAACAAGAATTTTTCTTTTGTTCACCCACGTCTGGAATTCGGACTACCGATTGCCCAGTCCCATAGTTCCCCTAAGCGTAATGTAGAAATTTAAAAGAAATTATACCCCAAGGACAATGTCTCTGTCTATTCTCTGCACTCTGCACTGACTGCTGCTGTTTTGCTCCTGCTCCGGCTGCTGCTCGGAGAAATTTTCTTGTATTTTTCTATATTCCGTTTTGATTAACATTCGTCGCCGGCGTCGGCGTCTCCAGCGACGACCATGTTTTTAATTACTTTTGGGGGTAGTTTCCAAATTTCTTTCGCTTGCCAGACATGGCCCAAAAGAAAAAGAAAGCTCAACTTACTGAACTTTAAGCAATGAAATCCACTTGAATTCGTTTGTATGCACATTTTTTTTCTTCATCATATGTTTGCTATATAATTCCATATGCCGACACACCTTTGACCCATTGACCACACCCTGACTTTCCCGAGGCTTCGCTAGGTCTTATTCAATTACAACTTTGCCATCTATTTGGGTTGTGTAATCGAGAAAGATATAATAACAAAATCCTGCTTATGTGTGTCTGTGTGCGTGACTGAGTTTGTGTGTGTGTATGTGCGTGGGTTGTGTATGCCCTGGGGCTCACTTTGGCACGGATCTAACCACTTGACCATGACACTTCAATTTCATTTTTTCTAATACCCTGTACACTTTAAATATAATAATAAACAGTATTTGAGAATAGATGTGCATCAGTGCATTGATACCCAGCATAAGAAGCCCAGAAAATGCATTTTATTTAGGCTTACATATTTTTTTTGGTAGATTTATATAAGCTCTAGAACATGGACCATTAGTCAATAAAAGCTTCATAGTAATCGGACAGTGCATCCAGAATTAACTTAAGATTTAGTTTTTCATAGAGTGTAATACAGAACAAGCGCAGCCTTGGCTTAAGCGTATAGCAACAAGCATATATATGTATATGTATATGTATATATATGTTGCCAGGTGGAGGGTGTTTTCTAGTCGGTCAATATCTATTCGTCCACTATTGAATTTTTTTGTTGACTGACCACACGAAACCGGAAATAACATAATTGACCTCAGGGAACAGAAAAAAAGGTATCATTGCATATCGCATCAAGTGACCGGAGCAGAGCGGACCTTAAGTGATTTGTATCTGCATCTGTTGCGCTGGGCAACGCTGACAACGAGGGTCGGGTCGGAGCTAGCCGCTGGTCAGTAGCAGCCCCTACCCTCCCCTTTCCTGTACTTAACTCCCTTGTTTGTGTTTGTTTGCCTGTCTATCTGTCCCTTCGGTTGGTCAGTTGGGTCAGTTGGTCGACTCGAGTCGCGTGTGTTGTGTGTGTGTAAACAAATCAATTACGGACGCTAAATGCATTTTATTTGAGCGCACTCGAAATTTGAATTTTAAATTAGTCGCCCGTCGGGGTATGTTTGGTCAGCTTTGTTCACACCTCTTGCCGTATACACATAGCTGGTCTTCATGTCCGAAGGGGTCAATGTGTTTAATGGCAACTTAAGTGGCCTTTAAATAGCTTAATGGCCAATGACCAATGCGAGGCTTAACAACATAATTGACGCCTTTGTGCGATATGCGGCAATTCGATGGGGAAGTTAGAATAGAGATGGGGTAATAAAAGATATAGGATGTTATTGTGAATGGGATTTATGGTTTTTTAATTATCCGAAATTAGAAACACTAATTGGGTATACATTAAACAAGGCAAAAGGATCATAAGGTATTTAAGATTGATTGCAAATTTAAAGTTTATACTCTAGAAAAAACCTCATGTTAAAAACTTGACTTCAGGCTAAAAACTATGCCACTTAACTTGAAACTTCAGCTAATTATAAAGCTACTTAGTATCGCATTCCCATTTCTAATATTTTCCCAAGCTGCTTAAACATCTTTCACACCGCATTCAAATGATGTGGCCCACAAGAGTTAAACATGCATTGCACATGCACAATCCCGTTTCCATATCCTTTTACATTTGCATGACACCTGCCCATGCCCCTGGCCAACGAACACAGCACTTGCACTTGAATGCAGTCTCAAATTGAGGCCTCAAGTGCGAAATAATACTTTGCCAGCGGCTCGTGGGCTCTCGTCCTGTGCTTGCTGCTGTGTGGATTGCATCCTCGCCGGGCGCCCTAAATAGTCCTTTATTACAGTCAACTGCGAGTCAAGCGAAGTGCAGCAGCCGCAGCTCGACGTGATTCTGCATATGGCAAAAAAGGACAAGCTCCCCTTCTCTATATGACTGCAGTTGCACATGCGGTGCAACCCGGTTGCATTATCCTTTAGAATTTGAATGCGCTTTGTGTTTTATTTTGCACTTGAATGCGCGCCACGGCAGAGCCAGGTGCAGGGGTAGACGCAACAGGATGTGGATGCGCTGGCTGCATTTGCCAAGGCTCCCGGGTAGGCAGGAGGAGGCGTGCGGAAGACTCGTTTGCCTTTGAACATCACACGTCGCACCTTTTGCAGTTTTCACACTTGGCAGCGGCGCATCAGGTGGCCACTTGGTTTGGGGGCTTTGCTTTCGAGTGATTAGGCGGCCAAGTGCCGCAGGATAAAAGGACAAGCCACAAAGCGTTTCAGATGCTTTAATAAATAAACAATGCGGGCTTTATGATAATAAATAGCAGGGTGTATGGGGTAGGATAGGGATAGGATAGGATGCACGATATGGGATGCAGGATGAAGGATGAGGATAAGGTTGCGTTTGTGATAATGATAGGAACTGGGGATTAGGCGCAGGAAGGACTGTGTGATTATTAGTTGAAGAAAGAAGTTGCGAATAGGAAGTAGATAGTATGTCATCGGATGGGTATAAGTTAATAGGGAATAGAGATTTTGTGTTCTTATGCCAGATCAACCAAATAACTTTTCGGCAAAGCCGCGCACAACATTCTCGTCATAGTCCTCGATCTCGTCGTCTGCATCATCTATGTCCACATCATTCGGCCTCACCGGATAACCCTGCTCGGGCGGAACGATCTTAACGCCATGGTCACCAAACAACAGGCAGTCAAAGTTGCTAAGATGAGAATAATGTAATGCAAATGTAATTGAATGAAGAATTAGGTTTTTTCTTGTGGTGGCCTACCGTTCGAAGAGCTCAAAGCCCTGGAATTCGCCGGACATGTACATGCAGACGTGCATATTACGGCCAACAAACCATATATCATGGAATCGAATGCAGGCGCGAGCAAAATTGAAGCGCGGCGGCCTGAAGCAGAAGGGTGGCGGATTCTGGCCGGATACCTTGCGGCGGAACCAAATGTTGTTGTTGACGCGCATGCGCAGCTCAAAGGAGAACTCATCAGGCCGATAGGCGACCTCTGTGCAGCTGTTCATGCCAACCACGGCGAGAAAGCCTACAAAGAAACATTATTAGGCAATTGACCATATAGAAAGTCGATCTCAAAGCGAGAACATACCTGCACAGCATTTGCACAGTCCCGTGTCGCAATTACAGGGTATGCGGCTAACCAGAGAATTGAGAGTTAAGTTTGTGAGACCCAATTGTCTAGACTCCTCCTCGTGGGCCAGCTGGTTGAGGCGATGCGTCAGTATGCCCAACTGCAAGGCGGCATCGTATGCCAAGTCCTCAGCAGGTGGCTGCAGCGGCACTGTGAGTGTATTGTCAATGGCATTCAAGGATTATGAGAGGATGAATGAAGGCGTAAATGTGATGAGCCATGAGCATATATGTACAAGGATATCAATTTAGATGATGAGAAATATAAATATACAACTATGTACAGCTAGCATCTATTACGCGGCTTCACCCGGCCAACACTCTTATATACATAATTGGCAACCAATGTACAATTTACAATAGAGGCAACTCGGAAATCATTAAATATCATCTGTTCGCCGAGCCCTTGTTCCCAATTTAGCAAACTTCTAAAAGATATTTAACTAAAAGTAGCTCAAGTTGTCTGCAACAACAGACAAGATGCTGCGCAGAAACAACATTTTCAAAAATAAACACGAAAAATAAATGTAAATATATTTTTGGCTTAATCATCTTGGGCGAACTTCCGCATCTTAAACAGTTCCGCTTCAAAGCCACTGACGTAGCCGGCACTCGTTAGTCCAAACAATATTCGGCGTCTAACAGTTTCAACTATTAACCTTGACTGGCAGCTGAGCGGATCCGATGAGACTATTTGCGACTATTTTTGATGTCAATGAGAGCCAGCCAGCGGCCACAGTCACAGTGGAGCGTATCGAAACGAAGCGCTGTCTTCGTGGTCAAGATCATGGACAAGCGAGTCGGAGCGACTGCGAGAGAGACTGTTACAAAAAAAAAACAAAACTGGTATTGCTTATGAGCACGCTCCCCGGGTGCTTCCGCGCTCTGCCCAATATTTGTTACTAACTTATTGGGCTGCGACTCAAGAATGTTGTACAGATCATGTGAAAATTGTGCCTTTAAAGCGAGCAATGTGCTAATTAGTTGAAACCACCAAAATATAAATAACAACCTTCAAGTACGTCGAGAACGTGGACGGGCGATTAATATTGGTCTGTGAACGTCCCCTATATGGTTAATGTTCGGCATTCGCTTTTGTTTTTATCGGGCCTTACGAGCAGTAAATGCAGTTATTTGTCTATTGGCATTGGTTAGACGTCACGTCTCATACTGTAACTTGTTATGGCCCTTTGAGTTCCACTCGGTTGTATATTGTATAATATTTAATTGGCGCCGTGCGGTTTTATATGCTGTTTGGCATTCAAAGCTCCGATCTTAGATTGGATTTAATGAAAATTGAAATAATAGAATTGCCGGTTTTATGTTTTTTGGTCAGGGTAATGTGAATATAACAAGGTTAGATTAGTTAGAAAACTGTTTTCGTAATAAACCTAAGCAATTGCATAGTTGGGACTTAGAGACTTAACTGCAGGATTAACTTAAGAGACTACTCCATTTGAAGCGCCAACTTTTCCATCAAAATACACATAAATACTTAAAAATATAAGGTTTACTGTAAAATAAAACACCATCACATATCAAGTATATTTTACATGTTTTATTACTCAATTATATCAGAGTGCCTCACATAAGTTATCACATAGGTACGCCAGCAGGTACGTGTAAATTAAAACTAACTATACTATTCCCAATTAGCCGATCACATTTGAATAGCAGTCTTGTTTACAGCTAGAGTTACGATATATACACATTTATAAACTATATACATGATATTTACAAATTCGTTAGGTTCGTAGTCTGAACTGGCCGTAAGTTTTATGTGAGCCAGACATGAACAAAGCGATAAAAAATGGGCATTGCAAATGGATTGATAAAGTTAACAACCAGATAATAGAAATACGACATAAAATAGGAGTTCTTTGTACTACCGGTATCCGATTTCGAGACGGCCAAGAGAGAAGCGACGCACAACAGGTAGAAGAACAGGCGCGAATGAGAACTGGCCGCTGGCATATTCAAGCTTTTCGTTGAGGAACTCTTGAAGGTTGTTTCGGTTGTTGTTATTGTTGTTGTTTTTGTCTTGATTAAGCACGCTTTGTTTGTATTTCGAGTTGTTTGTTCAGTTTTTAGGCATATACATATATATTTATATGTGATGTGTACATTAAACTCCACTTTTTGCACGCAACTTTCGCTTTCACAGTACAAAATTCACCAAGCCAAGCCCCAAAGAGTCTCTCGGTGCGTGTAGCTGAGTTTAATTCACTTTTAGTTTCTATATAGCTGAAAACTCTCGCACATGCTTCAGTTGCGTCTAACTCGACTTGGGTTCACACTTGAGGCGGCTTCAGCTCCAGCTCCGTACGTGCTAATGGCTAAAATACAACTGGCCAAGAAAACGGTAGCGCATGCGCATGCTAAGTGCCAGCAGCGGACCAAAGCCACAGTCAAAGTCAACGACAGACCCCCGCGGGTATCGAGGGGGGCTGCCTCTTTGGATTGACAGTTTTATGTACGTCTGAATTGGTTTTAGCTGTTTTTTCTTCTTTTTTTTTTCTTAAGCGCGCGCTCTCAAAACCAGTATTTTTTTTGTTTTTGTTTTTTGTTTTGGGATATCTTTTAAGTTGAGCGTCCCTCGTTTTGGGTCTTGATCTCTGTTATAATTTCTCTCGCGGGTCTTCGTCGGCACGTTGGACTCTCACTTTTCACTCCGTTTGTTGAAGTTTTATAAAATATTTTTAATTAACTTGTCACCTTAAATGGTTTTGCACCTTGCGGCATCTTCAGAGTAGTAGCCCCTACCCTCCTGGGCCTCTCCATTCATTCATCATGAGTCGCATCAATTGTGCTTTTGTTTATATGGCAGCTTATACCGTTTCGATTTTTTTCCGTTTTACAGTTAAACAGTTTGTTTATTTGCTTTGGAATTCTATTTGTAGTTTTAATATTGTTGTTGTTGTTGGTAATTTTGCATTAATTTCAACTGGTTCTACGGCTCTATAAATTGCTGAGCTCTGTGCGTTGAAAGTTGTTTTAGATGCCGGTGAAATTCAAGTGAGATTTTGTTGTTTGTGTCTTTACTCAAGCAAAGGCCCCAGAGTGCGAATTGGGAGATCTCTGTACATAAAACTTTTTGTCCTGACCTACTGACTGACTCAAGATCGACGCACAAGCGTAGGCTAAATGAGCTGCAGGTTGGTTGGTGCAAATCCAGAAGCAACTTTTAATATATATAAAGAAGATAAAAATCTATTATAATTAAGCTGAAGAGTTTCTCAAATTATTGAATATAATTCTTTGAAATAATTATTAAGTTTAAAATATTACAACTTTTGCAGCAATGAGAGCAATTTCTATGCCTCAGGTGCTTTTGGGAACCTGATTTGTTCTCTGTTCTACATTCATTAAAACTGTCCAGTCATTGACTGAGTGTGTAAATACTGATTGGATTCATTTGCTTATTCAAAACAGGTTTTGTGAATGATTCGCCAAATGCGAAGCATTAAGTTTGTTCTCTTTGGCAACAAAGATCGCAGTATCTTGTTTATATGTCAACAAGCCCATCAATACACAAAACATAACATTAACCAGGATGTCGGTTGTGCTAGCAACTGAGATACCCAATAAAAAAAAAAGAATATACATGATCAGATTATGTTAGGGAATATAGAATTTGTATAAATATTCATATCATATCATATGAATCAAGATTAAACATATTCGACATGTGCGACTTAATGTAGCTTTCATTAAAGAATTTCTAAAAAATTTAATGTAGTTGACTTTCAGAATTTTCTATTTATTATTTATCAAAAATTAATAATCAATTCTTTTGTAATTCCCATGCATATAAATAGTTGAGATAACTTTAGTAATATCTTTAAATCGAAATTATATAGTTAAGAGACCGATAAATATAAATGTATTCTATTTATCTGCAGCGCTGTGACCTCTAGTCGTATTAATATTGACCCAACTCGGAATAACTGTATACGACAGTTATGCATAAATTATTAGTGTATATATGGAGTAGCTAAATGTTTTTAATTATGCAATATTTTATGGGTTTCTATAGTTTTATATTTCTGTTTTTATTTTGCATTGATTTATCGATTTGTTGACATTGACTTTGTGTGGCGTTTGCCAACAGAATATTAAATGCTTTTATTTATTTATTTGTCTTTGACATTTGCCACAAGCGGAAACGCATCTATATATATATATGTATATATATATAAAGTGCAGAAATTGGAATGTATCCAATAGATAACTAAATAAACCCGATTGCCAGTAAACGGATCAGACGACCAACTGACCAAATTGAAGTATGAGGCTCGAACTCCGCCTGCGCCACACGATTGTGTGGCAAGCGCCATCTATTGGCCGCTTAACGAGCTGTTGTTGCTGTTGTTGTTGTTGCTGTGGCATATGATTATCCATTTGTTGCTGTTGTTGTTTTTTTTCCTAAGCTTCGATTGATTTGTGATGCCAAACTGCTGACCAACTGACCCCCCCACCCTGTTTCTCTATCTATCTCTCTCTTTCTAAGCGCTCAACATCAGCTTCGAACATGACATTAGAAATTATTTTGGGGCTGCTGCTGGTTGTTGCTTGTTGTTGCGAAAAACTTGCACGTAAATCATGTGAAATCAATTTCTCTTGCACAATTTTCCACTTTTGGCAAATATGACGAAAAACCAAAGCCCAGAGACCAGAGACCAGGGACCAGAGTGAAAAGTCGTGAGTAAACATTTGGTTAGACCGATCCTCGACAGGCTCTCAGCCGTGTTGTTGTTGTCAGTTGTTGGTAGCATCTTGCGGTCTAATAATAGCATGTTAACTCATAACATGCTATCAATCACTCCGAAATTTGTATCTGCGGTGGGTTCGAGCCTCAAACTCCTCGTTGTGTGGAGGCTGCTGACCATAATTCGCATGTGAAAATTGGAAAATTGTTTAAGCAAGTTGTTGCTGTTGCAGTTGCTGCTGCTGGTCAGCTTAGATGGAGTTATTGTTGCATGCATGCTCCAAAAATAATCAGCATGTGTGTGTGTGGGTATGCGCGCGCGCCTGGGATTTGGGATTCGAACATGATTTGTGGCCTTTTCATGGCGCCAGTTGTCTGAGTGTTTCAAATTTTCTATAATTATTATGCATGTGAGACAGATCAATGATCGTACGCTTAGAAAGTTTGGCAATTACTCAGGATTAGCTGGGCTAGCAACAGCTGTACATTGTCTTGAGTTTATAATATGCCACATAACAAAAGAGCGTAGCGCAATTTTATGCTATACATTTAAATTTGAATATTTGTTTATTTATATTTGAACAGAGTAGTAATGTTAATGGAATGTTAAACAGCTGTTAGGAAAAAGTAACAACATTAACATTTATTTTCCTGTGAGGCATTTTGTTTACAGCATTTATTTAAAGATTGATGTTACTAATATGTATGTTTTCTCTTGCTGTTCCCCAGTTGATGATGATTAGAACATAAGAATATTCAAGTAAACATATTAATTGAATAACATAAGTTTTCTATGAATTCTAACACTCCGATGTTATGTTAAGCAACTGTTAAATTTTTTATTATTCTCCTTTGAGTTGCTCATTAAATTCATTTGAAGGCTTTAAATTTCACTGCACCATCCTAAATAACGCTCTTGATTTTCTAGGTGCCAGCTAAAGACTCCTTCTCTACCACTGCTCCACTCCCCACAGCTCCTGGCGTGCACTCAGCTTTCAGCTAGACCGAAACAAAACAAATCGAAAAAGTATTAATTCAAAGCACCCTTTTTTCTTGCCGGCAAACAGTTCTTTACTTTTGGGGAAATGCATTTTGTGTTTTATTCTATTTTCATGCACTTGGCATCGCGTTGTCTTTGCCTTTTTCCGTGCTTGAGGATTTTCTTTTACCTTGCCTTTTTATGTGCCTTTAAGTATGCAACGAGTAGACTATAGAAAATTTTTATACAATTTTGTTGTTCATTTGTTTTACGTAGCCCGCCTCAAATGAAATGCCAAATGTAAAATGTGAAATATAAAATACAAAATGAAAAGAAAACATAAATCTTTTTGTCTGCCAACATTTTCAGAGGCGGCTGGCGTTAAGAGGGGGTGGCTGCCAGCATTGTGAGTGGCTTTTTCTTTAGTTTTTTTCTTCATGATATTTTTCCACACACCTCACGTACGGCAATCCCCCCCCCCCCTCCCCCTCGCTCTTGTGCAGGTGGTAATGCAAGATGCCAGCTGCCCTGTCCCGTGTTCGGGGAATTTCAGTGCATAGAGGATAATTTTTGGTTGCTTTTTATGGAGCATGTTTTCCTAAATTTTTTTTTTGTGGCATTGCTTTGTTGTGTTAATTAAGCAAAAATGTTGTTATTACAAACGTAGGAACTGAAGAGAGAGCCTCTCCACTGGGATATACTATAAACGAGTCGAGTTTTGTTGGCATATTATTTTGCGTAGTTCCCATGCCTGAATATCAATGTACCAGACTTGATGTTATGTTAACAGACAGAGCTACCAAATTTAAAATATATTTTAATCGCAATTAGTTGAATGTTTTTATTGTTATATGATTATAAGAACTTTAATTTAAGTATTTTATAAAATTTCTTAATTAGTTCTTAAGCGACTTTTTGTAACGATCCTAGAGAATTATCTTTCCTGGATTCTATCCTGCATATATCTTACTCTGCCCAACACAGCTGCCTTCAAAAGCTCTCAGTATCAAACGTTTGTGTGTTATAATTAACCCTTCATGCAACAGCAACATGCCTCAAGAGTGCATCCAACCCAAAAAGCCGGCCACTTCAATGCATAAACCCCAAAAATATATAGCTTCAGGAACAATTAGTTTCTTCTATTTTCTTTTTTGGGCTTTGCCGAAAAACAAATGAAAGAATTGCAACATGCAACATGCCACATATTCTCCAAGGACACTTGACTTTCAGTGCGCCTTGCTTTTGGAGCATGGCGAGCGTGGTGGAAAGGCGGAACAAGGGCGAGTTATGCGGGTCTTGAGCTGGCCCTCTTTTTGACTGTGTTGACAGCTTTCTTGTTGCACTTTTCGAAGGGGTTTTGGGTGGAGGTTGGGATGGGGTTAGGTGGGATCAGGGGCAGCCTGGCAACTGTTATGGCCTTTTTTTATGCCGCTGCCAATTAATTAAGCAAAATAAAAGGCAACAACGTTAGCTACCAAAGCATTGCTTCATTAGCAGCAGCATCAGCAGGAGGGGTGGGGCTGAGCTAAAGTAAGAGAGAGGAAGGTAGGCAGCGGGCGTTTGGCTGCTGCTCGTCTAATTCAATTTGGCCGCATGCAATTTGTTGCCTCGAAATGCTGAGCTTTAATACGCAATTAGTGCAATTCAATCAGCGCTGCTCTTGGGGGCAGATGAGCTGAGACGCAACACGCGCGAGTCCTCAGTCCCCGACTCGGCAGCCCGCCGACCAAAAGCGCCTTTTACCACCTGCGGCTCGCGGTGATTACGTGCAACATGAGCATAAAAATTGCTTACGCTTCATAGGCAAATGCCTAGACAAGAACCAGAGCCAGAGTCAAAGCGAGACAACGACTTCGATTCCGATTCCGACTTCGACTTCGACCAGGAAGCGCACTTGCCCCATGGGCTCTGGTGTCGTTTATGGAAATGTGCGCGTTTGGGGCCATGTAGCGCGTATTGTGGCATTGTCGGCGCCTTGCAACTTGTTTATGACACATGATGCAGCTGATGGAAATTGCCGTTCAAACGTTGCCAGCTTCGACTCCTTGCGTCTAGCTGGCGCTTAATTTAGATTAAACGACTTACTGCTTACAATTTATTGGCATAAAGTTTAATTGAACAACAACAACAACAACAACAAGAACAGCAATCGAAGAGGTAGTGCGGGGGATTTCGGAGGGGGGGAGGGTCGCAAAGGATGGCCAAAACAAATACACAGTTGTAGGTGGTCGTTGCCCCAATGCCTTGCGCATATGCGCAGGTTGCTTCGTGGCCGTTGATCACGACTCTATTAACAGAGTGCACCCTGCTCCTGGCCCTGATCTACCGAGAGAGAAAGAGAAGGGGAGAGAGAGAGAGCGAGAGCCTGTCCCTTGCCCCGCTCCATTGGTCAATTATTGAACCTTGTCGCGACATTGACGAGTGTCCGGCGCATTGCAAAATCATTTGCCAACGTTTTTTTTGCACTATTTTCTTTTATTTTCAATCTTTGTGGCGCCGACTCTTTGAGCCCGGCAACTTGTACCAATATCAGCAGCTGACATGTTCAGATTATTGCCTACATGTGGACCAGCCCACACGATCTGAGATTGTTTGTGTAGCTGCCCTGGCACCACCTGTTGCGCCGCATGGCCGGGGTCATGTCCACACTGGGCGCCTTGTTGCTGCTGCGCCTCAATGATTGCCGCTTAATATGAATACATTTTTCTTTGCCAAGTATTACCTGATACCAGTTTTCAGACTTTTTGCTTCGAATTGCTGTCTTGTTGCTGCTCTTGTTGTTGCTTGCTCGCCCTGTTTTGCATTTGTTGTTGGCAACACTTAATCCGGTCTAATTGTTATGGTTGTGGATATTGTGCCCAACACATTATCAATAATTTTCGGAAAAGCTGCAAAGTTGATATATTTTGAGGCACCCTTCGTCATGGACAACAGCATTAAAAGTATCAACGATGCAGTCCACCAGGCGGGCTTCAGATACTTGAATTTATCCATTTCAGAAAAAACGTTGGTGGAGAAATTTGGAATTCTTCTGGGTGCCAAATTTCAGTATACATATACTTGTAAAACATCAACAGAAATGATAAAAATTGAACGGGTTGCTAGTCAATTGGGAAAATACTGAAAAATATATTATTTATATAATAATTTGCCAAGATACTAATGGAGTTCCTTGATTATCTGCCCGGCTCGTTCATCTGCTTTAGTTATTTAATGTTGTTTTATGTCAGCGGCTAACTTTTGAACACGTCTTTGAAGACAGAAGTTAACATATATTTTTTATACCCTGAACCCATTTAAAATGGGTATAAGGGTATATTGTATTTGTGCGAAATCCAAATGTATGTAACAGGCAGAAGGACGCATCTCCGACCCCATAAAGTATATATATTCTTGATCAGCATCAATAGCCGAGTCGATCTAGCCATGTCCGTCCGTCCGTCCGTCCGTCCGTATGTATGAACGCAAGGATCTCAGAACCTATAAGAGCTAGAGACTTGAAATTTTAGATATAGGTGCTCCTAGTTCCCGCGCAGATCGAGTTTATTTCGATAATCGATAACTTACTTCGTTTCCAAGCAATCGATAAAAATCGATATAGATATCCTGTTTTTTGGGCAATTTTGGTAAATAATAAGAGCTAGAGTCACCAAAGTTGACACATAGCTTCTAAAATAGAATATATATATGCATTTGATGTTGGAAGAAGAGGGTTCAGAGTATCCCCAAGTCGCGAGCTCCTGACTAGAACCTCTTACATGTTTAAATTTGAATTATATGAATAATCAAGTCAAGAGTCAAGACAAAACTACAAAATAAAACTATAAAAATAAAAATGAGTATCCAATTGATTGGCTAATATGTTCTAGTGTTGGGATCTATATCAGATCACAGTAAAGAACTATCTACATAAAAAACGATTTGAGTCAGAGATAGTTCCATAATTTAATCTTAAATAATTTCCATGCATAGTCGTATGCATGTTGTTGCATATTCTTAGCCATATTTGAAAATCAATCGATTCCCAATCTGAGCGTCAGTCACGTCGCATATGAAACGATGGCAATCGCAGCAGCAGCACCAGAAGCAGCCAGGAAAACCAATCAGCCAGCTGCTCATCTGGAGTTGAGGCTAAAACAATCTATCACGTATGTAATTCCCATGAAAAATTTATATATATTGAGAGAGATAGAGAGAGGTAGCGAGAGGGTAAGCGGGCGATTGCCAGGGAAACGGGAGCCAAATTGTTGTAGGTGAAATTATAATTTCGTGCAACTGTCTGTGGCACAAAACTATCGAAATCGAATAGCAGGGGCAAGTCACATGTTGCAACAACTAGCCCAACTGAGGAGCTGGCACGCGGGCGTTGCCAATCGATTCGCCAAACGCAATGCACATGCCACATGGCTGTGCACTAGTTTTAAGATGTTTCTGCCATTGTTGGGCTATTAACTGGGCAACAAGTTCAGTTCCCGGGTTCAGGCCACAAACAAAAATTTGTGGCGCAGCTAATGAAAAGCAATCGCACGATCTCAGCGAACTCTCCATCCGTGTGCGGGGCACGGGGCTGGTTGCGGCGACTCTGTGCGTGGCGGGGCTCGCAACACGTAGAGCCCAATTTTTAAAGCATTTCGCCAGCTACTTGTTACGGGTCAGACAGTAGAGGGATGGTGGTGGGGGGAGGGGCAGGGACCGAGTGGCATCATCAATTCGCTGGCTGCCTCTCTCATAATCCCATGTTTGTTTGCATTAGGCACCGCAGACAGGCTACAATTATGTCGTTCGGTTCTGCAACATGGGGCAACGTAGCGACGTTGCGACGTTGCTGACAGCGCTTCAGCCTTAGCTACAGCTACAGCTACGAAACTTGCAACTTGCAACGTGAAGTCGTCCAAAAGTCGCTGCGGTTTTTGGCATTTTGATTGCCGCAGACTTTGTGGCGCATATGAATTATGGTCCCAGTTTTAGTTTTAGCTTTAGTTTTAGTTTGTGCTGTCGAGGCACATTCCTTGGGTCTGCACTTTGGCTTTGCCCATCGATTGGGATTTGCGATTGCCACTGCGATTGCGTTTGCGTTTGCCATTTGCCGATTGTCGGTTAGTGGACCATGGGAAAAGCTGCCTTTAAAGTAAGTTCACGCGAGCGTTCAAAAGCGAGCTCAAAACGCGTGAGTGAGCCGAGCTGTTTGGTTGCTTTTTTCACATTTTTTTTAATCTTAATATTGTTTACTGCGTATAATGCGTTCTAAAACCATATAGACTATACCCAACCTGCCAAACACAGAGCGTGGCTAATGTAGCCTTTAAATTCGTACAGCCGCGTTTTAAAACGCACACGAAACGCTTCACCAAACAGTGCGCTTTGCTGCTTTTGGTATTATGTTTATAATTTTTGCTGTTTATAATGTTTTTTATGCCACGAAATTAACACTTGGCTAGATGCACACCTACGAGCGCGCACACACATACACACCCCTCTGCCACACACTTGCATAAATTATGCCAAAAACACAGTCAACCCTCTGCTGGGTCTTGCGGTTTTTTTGCGCGTCTCTCGTTAATGAGTGAAAAGTCGTGTTAAACATTTAATTCACATGTTGCTGTTGCTTTGCATTTTTGGGCCAAAATGCTGTGTTTGTTGTTCATAATTTATGTGCCTGAAGTGCGTTGCGCGTTTCGGTCGCGTTTTTATTTTTATGCGGTCGCGTGTCGCCTGCTTCTTGCGATTCCTCTTTGGGTAATTGAATTGCTCGTGTTGTATTTTTTCAGCTCATTTTTGGCCATTTATTAAGAGCATTTGCTGCCGAAATTAGCTTCAATTCGGTCCCTTTTTCTGTTTGAGTGCATTTTCAGAATAATGAAATATCTACATTTAATTGCAGTGCATGAAAAAGTATTTAAAGCACAAATCAAGCAGGGATTCTGCCCGAGCTTAAATTTAATCACGCTTAAACTGACAATAGACCGTAACTCAATAAACCGTAAATTGTGCTTAATAATATATTGATTACTATCGATTTAAGTTGCCATAAAATTTCAGTCAGACAACAACCCAAAGGACTCGAATGAATAGCAAAATCATCACAGGCCGCACAAATCTCCATGGAGACAATTTAAATTGAGTACAGGACACAGAACACAGAACAGGACTAACCACAGACGATGTCTAGGCGCGTCTGGGACAAAAAAAAATTGTCTATAAAAATGGTTAAAACAAACTTTAGCTGCATTTGGATAAAAACGCTTCGAATGCTTTTGCCTGACTGAATTTACAGATTTCGCATTTAAATAAAGCCCTCGAAAACTTTTTGATTTTCGCGCGGTAAATGAGTTTGCAATTTTATTTGCAAATACAATCTCCAATTTTCCCAATGCAAATAAATTGTAATGAATTTACAAAAATCATTGGCAACAGCAACAACAACAAGAACAACAACAAGACAGACATCGATAGATAAGCGCAGACATTTTCCTCTCTATATAATACGCTTTTAATGAGCTTTTCGGGCAGGTGTGAGTATGCCCGCGCGGGAAGGGAGGGGGGGGGGGGGGCACGGTCGGTGTTGTCTGTGGCAGCGTCCGCGAGCTGTCAATTAAATTAAATGCGAGACTTTTCTTAATTTCGATTGCGTGTCCTACCCCAGCCCTACCCCGCCCCCAACCACCCTCGATTTGTGTGGAGTCATGCAATGACAATACTTTATTGCCATGGACACGCCAGGAGCTGGGAGAGAAATGCGTGCTTCTCAGGCTCATCAAATCGGCATTGCATTTGCGTTGGAAATCAACTTTAATTATTTTCTTACATGCAGCGTGTTTTTGTGCGTTTCACTAATTTGTTTATCCCCGTGTATAGCATGCTTTAAGGCGTCTCTTTAAGTTCTTGGCTATTGAATCTTTAAACATTTATAGAACGTTCTACTGATAATGTGCCATAGACGAAAATCTATTTAAATGTCATCATCATAAATGGGACACACAAATACGAACATGAATGAATTTATGTGAGAGAATATTCTATTGCAAAGAAGTCTGACTACCCTAAATTAATCAGAGCACTTTATGTTTTAATATATTAATTAATATTAATAGATGGATTTAATAATTTGTATTTTTTCAGAACTTTTGCTATCCGAATTGGACTGTAGACAATGGTAAGTGCCTTATTTGACTAGTTTCTATAGATTTAAATAAAAATATACAAAGCCTTGGTTGCATTATTTCTTAATATTGCTTCGACTAAACGGCCAATTGCAAAGATTCGACTTAAAAAAACGTAAGTCGCAAGCTTTACAACATAGTCGCTGTACCCGTTTACTGTGACACACATCAAATTAAAATGCATTATGATTTTTGTGAAATTATTTCGAGTGCTTCACTGCGTCCTTTCAAAGACTTTCAGTCAGTTTTCTTATTTTCTTTTCTCTATTTTGTAAGGAATGCCGAATTTTGGTAAAAACACAGATATTTTTCGCCTGAAAGGAGTACGAGGTTAGACGCTGTGTCTGAGCTGCTTTTTCTTGATTTTGCTCAGCATGCCCATAGGAATTTGTAGTCAGTAGCAGCAGCCGCAGCACAAACTGGAAATTATCGCCCCACACGTACATAGAATAGAGAGACGGACTGCAGAATGGGTACACTCTCGGCTGAGGGTCGTTGGATTTGAAGTGTTTGCATTGCCTGTGCACAACTTTTGCCTAGGTCCAAGTACAATTTGAGCGAGAGGGGGAAATCGGGCGTAGGCGGCGCTCCTTTAGGCGTCTGCAAATCTCAAAAATGCACACAGACTCCGCTTCATCCGCTTCCGTTGCGCCGTGGCTACACACGGGTCGTAAGCCGACAGCCGTAAGCCGCAAGCTGTGCGCCGTATCCGTATCCATGAGGTGCTCTGGCTCTGGCGTCGTCTGGCAAGGCGATTTAGCAAATTAAAAGGTTTTTAATGCATGGAGTGCGCTTTTACTTATTTCATAATTTGAATGCCAACTGCCTGCGAATGCGGCTGAGCGAATGTCGTCTTCTCTTTTTGCCTTCTAGACTTTTTGGGGCTCTCCTTTTTTTCCTCTGATTTTTTGGGGCCAGATTTGTCTTAGAGGCGCGCTAGGCGCATAGTAATTTCCGTCAGGTGGTGAGAGTTTTAACGTAGGTGAAGAATTTATGAGCTGCACTCACAGGATATGAGAAATACTTTTTAATTGTGCAATAAATTGAAATGTCTAACGCCCCCAACCACAGATATAAATAAATATATTTAGTTGCTTGGAAATGAGTTTTTAATTTCGCAGAAGATCCGCACTGTTTGTTCAGCTCTTTGAAACATTTTAAAAGGTTTGGTGCGGCTTAAATCTAGTTTATAATTTTGCCTGTAAGACATTTAAAAATATAAATTCATATGTTCAGTTTGTGTCAATAATAGCTTACACATTAGGGTGTTTTATTTAATACGATTTCCCCTTAACTTTCTCGAGTTAATTATGTAAAAAAATTATCTTACTGTGCATCTCTTAATTTCCTAATCGAATTGCTGTTTACACACATGCCCATACCTTATTCCGCACCTGACAATATTAAGTAATCTATGGAAAAGCCGTCGGCTCACACCCCCCACCAACCCTCTTCAAACCCAACCGCAAATTCCGCACTTGACTGCGGCGCGCAACGTACGCCAAATCGGGCATTGTGGAAAATGGGAAATTGCAAACTTTTCGCAATGCTTGTGAGCGTGGGGGTGGGTTTAGTTGGTGTGTAAAAAACAGAACAATTGTCACGTGTCGTCGCCGCCCTTTTGCGCGTTGTTGTTTTCAGCCTGGAAAATTGTTGGCAGAGCATATCAAAGATTTTCACTTGCGCATCGGAAAATTGGCAAATGGCAAGTGGCAAGTGGCATTTGTCTGTCGAGGGTTGGGAAACCAGACCCCGCCCCCTCGCAACGTTGCCAATTTTGCGAATTTTGGGTTATTAGGTTTTTCCTTTGTATTTGTACCTTCTGGCGGGTGTTGGAGTTGAGGCTTATGAATGTTCAATTGCGTGTTGTTTTGTGGCCAAGTACAAGAATTTAAACAGCCAGACGGTGAATGCAATAAATGACAGTTGAAATTTTTGATAAATGTCAACGCGTGTGGCATGAAAGAAGTGTGAGTAGGAGTTGTGGATGGGGTGGGGTGTAAGTGTTTGGTTGTGGATGGGTGTGTGACAGTCGTAATGATTTGATTACTTGGAAAACTGCCAGCTAGAGTGAAAGAAAGTGCCCGAGCGGCTTTTCCATATGACTTGAGGGCGGCTCTTGTCGCAAATTAAGCCAATTTGGAAAAAATTTGCATGCGGGAAAATTAAGCTAAGCGTGGGTGGGTTAGCTGGTTGAGTACTTAAGTGCATGATTCGGGCATGTGTTTAATGGGCTTGATTAAATCGGGCCAAGTGAATTATTAGACACATAAGCAAAATGAGCTAGAGTAATTCTTTGTTTTTCAAAACCAAATAGAAACGAAATATAATTTCCTTTTACTTGATTTACTGTGCCTGTGGCTAGCTATATAACGAGCTGCTCATTTATGCAGTTGAAAACGAACCCCAGTTGCAGGCATGCATAGAACCCGTCAAGCCAGCAGCCCACAACCCCTGAAGTGGAGGCTCTAACTTAAAATTCCTTAGTCAACAATAATAGAAATAATAAAAGCATTGTGCACAATACTCATAGTGCAGGCATGCCTAGTGCCCATCCCTTCAATGGAACCTCAAGCAACGTCGCACTCGGGTTTTTGTTTATGACGCAGTAATATTGAAATCTGGATAATTGTGCAAAAGGATGTGAAAAACCGCAAATACTTTGGACCCCAGCAACGCCCAAGCAGCAGTTTCATTCAAACCGAAGGCGAAGATATCTTGAGCACAATTTTAGTGCGACACAATAAGGGCAGCAAGCAGTGCTCGCAGGATTCCAAGAACCAGGCAAAATGGTCAACAACTGAGCCAAAGTGGAGCCGAGTGTAGCGCAGCGACCGGGGTGGGGTAGCTGGGCTGGGTTGGGGTGGTTAGGTAGAACGCTGCCAAGCAGAAAGTGGTCAACATTTTTGCCAGTGCTATGGGCAAGAATAAAAGACGCCAAATGCAATGCAGCAAAGGTAGCAATCATAGTGCCATAGAGTCGACAACAACACCAGCAATAGCAACAACAACAACATCAGCAACGACAACAAATACTACTATTATAACTACTAGCAGCTACCAGTGAAAAGTAATAATAACCTCCTCCTAACTTTTGTAGCTGCTTCTCAGCTTCTGCTCTTGCGGTAATAAACCAAAGACATTTCATTTGAGCTCGTAAACTCGTAAATGCGGCTATGCAAAAAGGCAAATTAAAAGAGCAGCCCAGCATCAAATTAAATGAAATATTTTTCAATAGCTCAAATAACAAAGTGCATGTTTGTGGAAAGCTAAAGAAAATCAAACTATGAGATCATATAGTTAAACAACTCTTAAGGTTAAAGTTTCACTAACTAACAAACTCAGAGAAAGATTTAGAAAATTTATATAATCGGAAAATCCTGATCCTGAAAGTGATAATTATCTATAGAGCTTTAAATTTAAATTTTCTTAAATTTACAGCTTGTTCCAACTTGTTCCAGAACGAATTTCTTAAATTTACAGCTTGTTCCAACTCCCCTACATAAATATTCCCAAATGATTTTCTGTAATCCACGCAAACCCCAAATTCTTTACAAAATTTTAGCCAAAAATAAAAATGAACAAAACTCAAGTGTACAAAATTGAACAACAAAAATTGCATTTGCTTTCATATGCAGCAGGCGCATAATTCAAAGCACCTTTGACCCCCAAACCCGCTGAAAACACAGCCAAAATTAGCTACAGCTATCCGCAGCTAAACCTCATCTCGTAGCTTGGGTCTCATCAACATTTGCTTCGTCTGACGCATCTCAAAGGACTTTTTTGTTCATAATTAATGCTCACACAGAGTAAATGTTCAAAGATATTGCGCCCAACCCTGGTCTGGCTGCCCTTTCTCCCTGCTAAATGCTTTTTGTGCGAATGTCAAAAGCAGCGACAGCCAAAACAATCAAAAATAAAATGCAAAAGCGCGCAAAAGTGCAAAATTGTTTACCTTTATTTTTGACTGTGAATTTTTTGATTTCTCTTCTGTTCTTTTTTTTGTGGCATATGCGAACGAGTTGAGTTAGCGGCATCCTAAGGACTGCCCCCCAATGACAGACAGCCACACTTTCTTCGTATGTGGAGGTCGCCGGCTCTAACTGAAACTGGAACTTGTACGTCTCTCGCCTGCCCGCCGGCCGGCCGGCCGCCCTGGCTGGCTGGCTGCCTGCCTGCCTGCTGCTTGGCTGTCATGATTTATTTACTCACGGCGTGCGCGTATTTATCAAACTCTAATTAATCGGTGATAAACCGATCAAGACGCTAAATGCTGAGCTACACGAAGCCGCCAACCCAGTCAAGAAACAAGTTTCAGTTATTCCAACTATAAAACTCCCAACTCCCGACTTCAAGTTGGCCGCTTGCGGTTTCTGTTTCATAGTGTGCATCCATTACCATGTGATTTGCTCGGTTCCAGCTCGCATCCAAGTGCCGCTTTGCCCATTTTGCGAGTATTTTGTTGTATTTGCTAAAGCAATTTGCTTTACTCCCCACCAGATCCTCCCCAGCTGCCTCCTGGCCCATCTGCTGTTACCTCTGCGATTGGCGATGCAATCAATATATGCTCGTGTCCAGCAAATAATAGACTTCAAACTGGCATTTTAAGCGTTTCTACTCATTCGCTCTCTCTCACTCTTCACCCCTCCCTCTACTTCTCTCCCACTCCTTCTATATGGGTTTGTGGTGGGGTTTGGTTATAGGTATCTCATGTTTCCGTGTGCTAAAATTTTTCTTTCAAATGCACACATAGTAATACCAAAAATAGTTGAGTTTGAGTTGTGGCAAGCAATCGCATAATACAGGATGTTATTTTTGTATGTGTTAAGAAGTAGAATAGTAAGGGGGTTGAAGTTAAATTAGCTAAGTCCAAAGTGTATATGGGAAGATCCAGGCAACCCTTTTCTTTCAAATTTTCCAAAGTTCGCGACTAGAACAAAAAGTGAACCCTCCATATAATACATAGAAGTTCTATTTAACCCAGTTTTACGAACTGTACATCATATAGTAAAGTTTTCTAAAACAACCAATACATGTATGAACTTAAGATATATAAGCTAAAAATCCTATATATAGGATAGATTCTTAAAATCTTACTTAAGATTTGAAAGCTAAACACCCTGTTTATGGGAAGTTTCTTAGAATACTTATATTTAATAGTATTTCTTAAAAAAATAAATTCGAATCCCTTTTATAATTTAATCTCAGCAAATAGATCGGGTTTGGGAACAGAGCACTCAGAGGAGCACCCTGTTTGTGGCATAGCAATGACCTCTAATCCACTTTGGTAAATCAATTTATTAGCCATGTATGACTTATGCCTTTTTAAATGTGCGCTTGCATGTGTTGCCTCTAGTTTAAAGTTGAACGTTTATAGGTTGCCCGATGCCACCACAGTGCCCCCTCTGTCCCTGTAACCTCCTGGTACTCTCTTCTTCTTCATTCGTATTGTTGGGGGCAGTCCGCACAGAAGAGGCGCAACAAATTTATGTTAACATGCACTGCGTAGCGCCCTCTGGTGTGTAATTTGGCGTTGTTTAGGCATCACGATTAAAGTTTTCGCCCTGGCCACGGCCAAGACTCAGTCCCCAGTCCTTGCTTAGACCTCAATGCGAGAGTGGGGGCCATAAAATATATGTGTGTCTAAAAGCGGATGCATGGGTGTAAGCCATGATTATCGCGGCTATAAATGATATGTGTGAGCTGGTCTAACCAAGTCGAGAAACTGAGCCCAGTTCAGGCCACATTTCGTTGTTTGTTGCCCCGTTTAGTGTCCGACATGAGCGTGTGAAATGCGCAATGGGCGTGGCCAGCGGTCAAGTTCTAGGCTGGAATCGCATTTATTTATGGTTTTGTAATTACAAGTAGCAGGCGGAAAAGCTTTCGGAGACGATCTAAAATATTGACGGAGCCAAAGTCAACAAACTGTAAAGTTGCAATATAAAAACATGTACAGAGAATGTATATCAATTGCGCTGCAGGCGCCACTTGTTGCCAAAAAAGTTAAATAAACAAGTAAAAGTGCTCTTGTCGCAACTGCCCGACTAGTAGATACCCTATGCCCGACTTGAGTTGCCGTAACTTACATTCGTAGTTACTTCTATTTCCCTCACCATGAAAACAAAATAAACAAATAATATCGAGACGTGTTTGTATCTGACTAAGTTGCCTTTGCCCATTGCATCCGTTGCACAACTTCAATATACCCTTTTATTTTCCCCATTTGTGCAAGAGTATAAAAATTGTTAGTTTTTATGGTGCAAGTTGTGGGCTGCATGTCTGGGATTCTGGTTGTTTGGGGGGCGTCACTTTGAATATAAACGTTAAGTATAAAATTGAAAAAGCCATTTTGCTGCCAATTTAGCAAACACTTAAACCAATTTTGCACTTCAATCCACTGACGCACACAAAAAACCTCCAGTCCTACACACACCCATTTGCACATCCCAAGAACTGAGAGCTAGACAGAGCGGGACATGCAGGAGGCTTCTGCATTGGCATTGAGGCCAACAACAAGGACAATCCGAGAGGTCGCTTGACTTGGCCCGAAGTCGCGCCAGGCGAGAGCACCGCAGGGCTCGTCTCTGCCACAGCAGAACGTTGCCAACAAAGTGTGAAAATGTCAAGTCGTAAAGTGTTCATGGGGCACATTGGAGCCGGCATGGGTTCGGAATGGGACTCGAGCTCGGATGGCCGGCAAAAATGCAGTTACAACGATATGGAGCTGCTTTCCAGGGAGTTACATCTTACGGTTGCATCTTGTTGGCATTGTGAAAACAATCGAAACATCTAACTGAGTTTGATTACAAGCTGCGTCAAGTTACCTCAGTAAGGCAATGTTGTTGTGCTTTCAACTTGATATAAGCTCTGGAATAAAAATCTTTAAGAATGTCGTGCATTTGCCAGTACATAATTAGTTCTTCATCCTCGACAAATGGCGGTGGCGAACCCATTGCATTTCCACTGTCCAACGCGAATGACAATTCAGCGGCTGCAATAGGCCAAGAAGGACCCTGCGATGCGTAAGTCTAAGAGAGATACTCGGCCAGGTCTAATAGCTGAATGAGATCCCTCAGCTCCATGGAGCCTGTCTCAGACGATACCAAGATAGCTGTCTGCGTCTCGGAGCTAGCCGATTTTCGCTCCGAGAACTGGCTGCTCAAGAAGAAGCTGGAGGAACATGAGGTGACCATTCAGAATCTGGAGCATTTGATGACTACCATTATGAATAAGCAGCATAAGATGTTAGCTGAAGTGTTGCAGCTCCGCAAACGCAATCAGGAACTCCAAAATGAGTGCAATCTACAGCGCGAATATCACGCGATGGAGCGCAATGCGCTGATCAAGGAAATCTACGATCTCAAGAACAGAGATCAAATGTGTGCACTGGTGAGTCTGACATTCACCCTAAAAATGATTTATTTAGATGAATACCTATCAGAGTGCTGAGGAGGATGAGTCTAATAGCTCAATGAATAGTCAGGATGAGTATGGCGAGCAAATCGAAACAGACAGCGATGAGGCGAAGTTATGCTACGAACATGACAGCGATGGGATGGAGAATGAGGAGGATGGGGATGATGGGGAGGATGAGCACTCTGCAGGCTCATCGGCTGAGTCCTCGGCTCCATCCTCACACAATGGTTCAATGTACTCGGCCGATTCGGATACTTACGAAACCGATGAGAGCGAGGATGAAGAACAGGAATCTCAGCATGAGCAGGGGGAGTACAGCACTGGTACTGATTCTGAATCCGACTAATTAAATTGCATTTTGTTTTAGTTGAACCATGTTAGCATGTCTGGTTGGATTATATTATTTACTCGAGAACATATTAAATTTGTTCTTATTTAATTCTAATTCCAAATTTATTTAAGATCAGCATATCGACAACTTTCCCTATTTAAAGCTTTATCATTGTTTCCCACCAGCTCGCATTGAATAATCAAAATCACAAAAACGTGACAATCGCTCAAAACAAACGAAATAAATTTCAAAATAACGTGACAGTGCGACAAACAGGACGTCACAGTGCAAAGCACAAGGCATTAAAAACTCCACGCAAAGTATTTGCATATCAAAATGCGGAACAAAACCTTTGCCAGACTCGCAGCTTCCTTCCAACTCTCTCTGCAACTCTCGGTTGATTGAATGACTGACAAATAGAGAGAATAAGTGGTAGAAAGAGGGTGCAGAAGGACTGGGAAGCATTTAAATCACTGGCAGAAACGTGTTAAGTGCTTACCTATCGCAAAAGTTGAGACATAAATAAAAAACATGAAATAACCCGTCTCCAAAGTAACGAGAATTGAATACCCTTTCAGAAATGTAGACGATGTGCAGCATATTTCTGTAGAAGCCATATCGAATGGCAGCCTGATCTTGGTAGGATTTAACTAGTAGCTGTTGGCATGGAGAAGCTCGTAGTTCCTGGTGCTCAACATTTATTCAATTGTTAATATGTCTACTGTTAGATATAGTGATTCGATCCTGGATGCACGACTATACGAAATAAATAAAAATGCTATCGATTCTATTTTGTTGGATTCATGAAATTTTCACAATACTATATCCAAGAGCATACAAAAAATGTAATAGCGAAACCAAAACGCAAACTCCAGCCGAAAGCAGGCTTCACAATCACCTCACATGTTTGTCTAGGCATGGTTTGCTGTTATTTTGCCCGCAGCAAGTGGCAGATAGAGGCGGTAAGCGAGGTGGGTACTGTGTGTGTGTGTGTTTGTTGCTGGGGCAATTTATCAAGCCGCAAAAGTTTTTAGCACAAATGAGTCGTGGCAAAACAGCTAAAGGTCCTGCCTCCGTTTGCCGCACAGGATTAATGAGTCTCGTGTGTTTTAGGTAAATCAGTTGCCTGCCCCGCCTCACTCTTTGTCCCTTGCACATCCTCGAACATGGGCTTGCAACACGTACTAATAATCCATCATCACTTTCAAGTGGCAAGTTGTGGGGCTGTGGAGATCGCTTATCGCAGTTGCCAGTGTGTGTGTGTGGTGTGTGTCAAGTGGCAGCTCTTAGTTGTGTGGCCTGTGGCTTATCGTGTGTGGATCGCAACTTGGTATATGAGCGCCTTGGTAGCGCAAAGTTGATAAGGTTAAGTTTATGTTAAAAATACATAACCTAAATTAAAATAAATATATAAGCTAAAATGTATAAATAAATAAATGAACTACTAAAAAAAAAATACTATAAATTTAATTTTGATTTATTTTACTTAAAATGTTAAAATTAATGTTATAGAGATCTTGTATGTTAAATTTCAAACTCCTTTTAATACTCTAAATGTAAGTATTAAAGTATTCACGATACGCACATATCTTATAATGTCTTAGCTCAGCTCAGCTTATCCCAGTCTCATCGTGGTCCACACAAAGGCGCAATAAAAAAAATCTCCTTTGTACAACAATTATTAATGACCGGAGAGAGCGACTCTATGCATATCGAGTCAAGAACTGTATGCGATATCATTTATCAGCTGAGAATTTGTTAAAAAAAAAAACTTGTTGCAAACACACAAAAAAGATTTTCGTGTCACGTGAGAAACCGAACTTGAATTTGACTGGCGTGCGGCTACCGGGGGCTACCAACGACTGAGACTCCAAGCCGGGCTCACAGCTCAAGAGATGTGAAACCGAACAAGGCATAAAAGGATGGCGACTAAAATATTAATATGCGACGTGAAGCGTTGCGATGCGGCAACCTAAACGCTATGCAAATCGCATCATAAAAGGTAAAAAGATACCGAATTGTTGTCGTTGTTGTTGTTGTTGCTGTTGTTGTTGGTCAGCAAAGGTGTTGCTTTGTGGCTCCTTTGTGAAAGGTTGCCACCAAGCCAGCAACAGCAACAGCAACAGCAGCCGCAGCCGCAGCAACAAGTAGCACAAATTGCATGTGACCAACCCGCGCAGCGGTTGAGAAACTCTGTTTTGACTTCCTTGTGGGCTGCGGGGGCCTGGCCAGCGAGTTGAGAGATTAATGGATTTGGTTTTTGAACGACATTGAATTATATTGAAAGGCTTGTTAAGAGCGGACATATGAACACCGCTACTTACAGCTAGCTGGCAACTTGACGGACAATGAAGTTGGCTTCAGGCAGTGCGGCTTGTTGTCGTTGAAAGGTCAACTGCTTTAAGATGTTTTTTTTTTTTTAGAAAGGGAAGGCAACAAAATTAGTCAGCTGTTGGCATAAAATCTGTTTTTGGCAAAGTGACTTGTTAAGCTCCTTTTAAATGATCCCGTTAAGTTAATAACTCGTACAACTTGGCCAGAACTGAAGCGATTTTTATAAGCTAAGCTAAAACTTTTCTGCGTTATTTATTCCATGCTTTCTTTGCCACACTACGTGCAAATATAAATCATATATTTTGACAAACAAACCGATTTAATCGACAAACAAAATGCAAAACGTTTCACCGGATCAACGCCTACCTATTTACTGGAGCGTATAGAAATCAAATGGGACCCTATAAAAAATGCCTGCTAAAAAATGCCGAGCGAAAAAAAATTCGCGTGTTCTAAGCAATTTCAAACCAATAATCGTTGGGTGTCCTTTAAATTAAGTAACCAGAGCCATGCAAGAGCCAAATAATAAACCGCATACAGACCTTATGAGCCTTATGTTGACATACCCGTCAATACGACAGACTTTGACGATGATATGTGTGATGGCAAATGCCAAATATGTGGGTGGAAGGGAGTTGAGCGAGCTGTTCTGCCAGGTTTTTATTTCCATTTGAATATTATTTTGAGAACTAATCTAAAATTAAAATCATTTCGCGGCTGGCAAACAAAACAACGCTGCCGCAACGATAAATGCTTCGATAGATGGAGGTACACATAAATGAATTGATGGATGAGCGAATGTATACGATATATGACGATTGATATCAGCCCGCCCTTCAGACATGCACACATTTATGCACTAATGAGAATGACAAACCAACAATGCAAATATTACCCAAACAAAAATATATAAATAATAAAAACGAAAGAAATCGAAAAACTCAATTAAACAAACACACGCAGACGTTCGGCTGGGTCGTTCTGGTAGTTCTTGTAGGGGCTGTTTTTTCGGTAACTCTTTCCGGGGGTGGCGCTAATAAACAGTTTGATTTTAATCAATGAACCGCAAAGCCAAAAAAAAAAAAAAAAACACGAAAATGCCATCCAAAGGTAAGTGATACGCAGGACAGACAACATTTATATATGTATTCCTTCTAATTGTAAGCCTTTTCCGGTTATGCGAGAAGTTTCATTCGTGCGATTAAATAGCTTTCGTATTTATTTTTTATTTTTGCTAACACACGGCAACTAACCAAACAAATTTCTCTGCGAGGGGCTTAGCTACAGAAATTCCTTTCTCCCATTTTTTTTTCGTATTTTTATTTTAAGGGTTTGCTCATGCATATTTATGCCACTTAATTTTCGGTATACGAGCCAAACACAATTCGGTTGACTTGTAAGTCTTTGCATTCAGTTTTATTTGATTTCATTTTGTTGGTGCTCCTGGCGAACCCCCAACAGGGCGTAATTAAAAGTGGGCCCCACCTACCCATTGACTTGAGGGCCCATGCATATTTATGAGTATGGATTTAATAAATATTTTTATATATTTGTCTGTTTTGTCTATGGCTGTCCTGCATAGGTGCATTAAACAGCTAACAGACTTTCATTTTGTTTTGCTTTCCAGCAGAATGCTCAAGATATTCGCAGTGCCTTAGGAAATGTTTCCACTATTTCAGAAATCAGTTTCAGTTAGGCTTATTCATTGCCAGATCTTTGATTAAATTGGTATTTTTTATAAAATATGAGTGAAGGTTAAAACTTTTGAATAAACTCACATCGGTTCAAAGCCCTCCTCAGCTATGCGGAAATGCCAACAAGCAACCTTTAAGTGCTAATACGAAAACCCAACATAACCATATAGGGGCCAAAAACACATGTTAGCGCAGCGTCTACAACTTTGTGTTTAACGAGGCGAACGTACGATAAATGCGGCTTAGACTTAGAATCATACTCATTTCGAGTAGAGAAAACTATTTTCTAAATTAGAGAAAATAATATACTAGAACATAAGGTAAGTGGCGAGCAGGCGAGTGGGCAGAGGCAGAGGCTAAGTGCAACATGTGTTGTACCTAGAGTACCGCTACGATTACGATCGTTATCACCAAATCATCAGCGACGGGGGTTAATAGAGCTGTACGAACCGCGGGGCCGCTGAGAAGCCAAAGTGCGATTTCCATTAACGATCTATCCAGAGATCAGCGAAGCGGCACACATGGCCCCAGCTGTGGAGCTGGGGGCAAGCCCAGGCTTGCCACATTATTTACAGATCTCGCACCTTGGCTACCAAGCGAGGTGGTTCGACTCTTCGATCGATCCGCAGCGCTGGCTGTGCACTTGACCACACTAATCCATCTTTATGGCAAAAATGTTGTGATAAAGCCTTGGCGATCGATCGCTGTGCCATACTCCGATTACGCTTAAGTAGACAGCAGGCTGCTTAACCCGCAGCTAAAGCGGTTGACTTTGACGAGATCGCAATGATGATCGTCAGCCGATCGCGATGCTAGCTTCAAGATCGTTCAGCAGCAGTTGCTCTTGAGGATCATCTCGTTTTGGCTGGGCGTCATTTTTAGTAAATTACTTTAATAGTATAAACATAATCATTTGTATTGTGGCTGGCTGCTGCAAAAAAGATCATCGTCAGTTGGCTCGATCCTCAGATCGCCTCACCTAGCATATGGCACTTTGTGCTGCAAGTTGGGAGGAGCGCGAGCAGCAGCAGCAGCTCGTGCCATGGACTGCTGGTAATTT